CGTCGCAGCTGAAAACAGAGCTCAAGAGTGTGTTTTTGCTAACAGGGCACTTGGGCCACCACAGACACCTCCAACACGAGTGACATCGAGCTGGCCATGACCACTCAGCCACTCTCACCCCACCCCCAAATCAAACACAACCCTGATGCGGCCCTCAATGAAATTGAGTTTGATACCCCTGTAACAGCACTATTCTCAAAGGGGATAGTTACAGAAAAAGCACATCCTCATGGATCCTGAAGGCAGCGAGGATGAAATTCAAATGGTTCATTCTCAACTACATCATATCAGACAAAGAAAAACTGCTAAGAGATGGTCCCACAGACAATCAGGTCCTGAGCTATGTGGGACTTTAAATGTAACAACTGGCACCTTGAACTGCACCCAGAAGCCAGTGGCAACTAGAGCAGTTCTTATGATGGTGGCATTACTCAGACAAAGCAGAAAGTACTCTTAACTATTCAACATGGTCTTCCACGGCAGCCCTGGTAGAATGAGTTAACATCAACTGATGGAAGAGTGACCAAGGCATGAATGAATAGGGTCTTCTAATTTAGGAATGGTCACGCTTTGGGAAACCTCCATAGCAAGAAAAGCAAATTCTAAAGGATTTAGTTGAAAGTACTGGAATGGTAAAGTGAAGGCCTAGAAAACATTAAAGTTTAGAGGGGATTTCATATCTCTCGTAAAATAAGAGACAACTGGTTTGGGTCAGGAATTCTAATGTATATTTTCAAATATTTTCTCTTTTCTAGTTCTAACACAAATAGATCATGTGAGCATAGCTTCATCTTTATGCTGGACAAAATTTGCTCAAGCAGTGAAATTACTAACATTACTAGCAACTTTATCTTCATTCTTACTGGGGCAGCAAAAAGCCTCAAATCAATCGCATCTTTCTTTCCCTAAGCAAAATACGTCCATCTTATTTACCTCTGCACTCCCTTTTGGATATACCCTTTTATATTTTCTGTCCTTTTGGGGGAATTTCTTTACTTGGTAAGGAAGGATTATATTGGGGCGACCTTTCTTGTTATACTATATGCATTTGCATTTTTCAAGTAAACTAATATGCAAATTTGCTTTTTAGAAAGTAATGAAAAAAGCATAAAAGAGAGACAAAAATAATTTCCCACTTTCTTAGTTATTACATAGGCCTTTATAGGTGTCCCAAAACATGGCCAACTCAAGCTAGTTTCAGAGTCTGATGTTTTCTACACTGAGACTATCTGCAAGCTTTTAGGAGGTGCTCAGTTCTGGCTAAGCCACTCTCGTGTTCTTCGTGCCTTTCAAGTGACTTATTTTGGATTCTTTATTTTAGATTCTTAAAAGAAATAAAATGGGAAGTGAGCAGGCTCCAAAGTCAAGCCCTAATGCATAATCTTTATTTCCATATAGGTTTCTGCCCATTCATGTAGATGCCCGGAAGCATTTTGACAAAGTGAAAATGATGGGGTAAAATGCCAGAGGTAGGGTGAAGTGAGAAAAAGGCTGGTGAGGAAGTAATGCACCACCAGTCTGCTTATGGTGAAAGTAATATATTATGAATGGTCAAGCTCTTCGTGGTCATTATCCCCAAATCCCAAAAAAGTCATAAGTACAAAAGAAAAAAAAAACAACCCGCCCCCACCCCCAACACTTTGGATTTTTGCCCTCAATATTCCAGAACTGTTAGAGAATATCAGCTTCCATATGAACCAAGCTATGTGTTCTGATAACAATCCGAATGCCTTTTCAGACAGATTGGTGAACCCAACTGTTCTTCTGTACTGGTACCCATCATATGCCAAAATTTATGTAGAAAACTCTACCAGTTTTTTTTCTCATCAGGCTTTAACATGGTCAACGTTCATCAAATCCTATTGACCAATGTGGATTTTTACTACTTTACTTTTGCTGCTACAGGCTTCATTTCTGAAGGCTGTAAGTGTATTGCTCAAATGTATTTCCACAGGTCAGTTGCTGGGAAACACACACAGTAAGGTACTATTGTCTTTTGTTTTGGGGGTTCCCCTGGGTGTCTTGTTGTTTTCAGGGACAGAGAAACTACTGAGGAATTATCTCCCTTTTGAATATAATACGTCTCCTGATACTTTAGCAACAGTTGGCTGCCAAGCTGAGGAAAACCTTTGCTTTTCTGTATGGGTGGCAGTAGATCCACTCTAATCTGGACAAATACTGTTTTCAACCAGCATTCTTTTCCTCCACCCAATCTTCAAAATATCACATTTTCTTCTCCCAATAGGACCAGAGAAGAAAAAGTGAGCTTCCACAACCAACCCTCCTAATGATTATAAACATTCAAAAAAAAAAAAAAGCCCGGGTAAGTGTGGTGTTTGCTGACTGCGCGTGCGAATGCCTTTGACTCGGTGGGCGTTCAACCCGGGGTTCAACCCAAGAAACCCAAGCGTTTGTTTGTTTGTTTTTCATTTCGACTTTGCTGCAGTGACACACCCAGGTGGGTTTCGCAGACCTCCTTTTGTGAAGGCGTAATGTGCAAAAGAGCTGGCGTCCCAATGACATCCTGGCTCTCTCTCTTTTTTGTTACCTTTCCATATCGCGTCTCAGTTGCTCCGCCACCAACTCTTTCAGCCTCCGCCTTTCCGCGGAACCCCTCTCGCCGCCTTTTCTTGCCGATTCTTCCCGGGGACCTCCGGAACCCCCGGAGACCGAGTTCCCCCCACAACGCGCCATGGCATGAATTAAGAACCAGCCGGCGGTGGGGCGGCAGAGGCTCTTTTGGCCTGGAGATGGGATGTGTCACACGCGTGGCGGGGTTTACTCATAAGCAGACGGCTGCAAACGCCGGGCGGAAGTCCCCTTTTTGCGCTAAAAGCTTCCCTTTGTTGCCCTCTCCTAACAGCCGCACCGCTTCGAGCTCACGACTTTGCTCCGGTGGGGAGGAATGGCTTGGAACGACCAGCAGTTTCATTCGAGTCCTGTCTGAGACCATCCCGCTTCTTCATTCTCATTGGGCAAAGCGGAGAGCCGTAGACCAATCGCCGTGTGCCGTCCTCAAAAGGAATGGCCAAATCCCCGCCTCTCCGTTGTTTACCGTCCTTTGAAACACATGGCGGAGGGAGTGAGGCACGAGATAGATAGATAAGAGTTGAAATTATACATCCATAAATCATTTCTGTTCACAGAAAGGATCTTATATAAACGGAGCTGGATGGGAAAAGAAAATGAACATAGAAAGGCACTCCTTTCATTTGTCTATGCAGATTCTCAGTCACCCAGGTCATGGTTGTCCCAAAGATGCTTTTTCAAGAGGCAACTGGATTTTCTGGTTTTTCTTTGAAGACGTTTCGCTTCTCATCCAGGAAGCTTCTTCAGCTCTGACTGGATTTAAATCCTTCCATTCCCCATCATCCAGTCAAGAGCTGAAGAAGCTTCCCAGATGAGAAGCAAAACGCCTTCAAAGAAAAACCAGAAAGGCCAGTTGCCCCTTGAAAAAGCACCTTTGGGAACACTCCTTTCATTTTTTTTCAGTTTTATTAACCACCTAAACCACCTAGCCCCATGATAAGATAGGTGGCAAATAAATTTAAAAATGTGAGAGCTGTATGAAGTGTGTGGAGGGTGTGTGTGGAAAAAGATGATAACAGGGTTTTTTTTGGTGCTCTCTCTGGTTGTTTTCTTGCAGACATTTCTTTACCCAAACTAGGTAACATCATCAGTGCTGATAGATACTGCAGTAATCCATTGATAGAGATAATACTGAATGAATCTGGTTCTGGAATAAAAATTAAGAGTATGAGAATCTGTCACTACATTAGGATAAGGTTACATAATACAGCATTCCCATAATCACATTCAAAAGGATTTTTGTCCATTATCTAGCTTGAAAGGCATTAAGGATCAACTATTTACAGAAAAACCATGGCAAGGCTCATGAAAAGCATCTCTTGTTTCTAAGAGGTGGATTGAAAAAGGATGGGAAAAGCTTTCAGTTATTGTTAATTCAACTGTTAAGTTTCAAGTTGAGATGTCACAGCAACATTCTTGCTTCACTTTAGCTAAGAATTCTTGAACTTCCAATGTTGATGAATGTGTCCTCAGCTATCAAAACTGATCTATATGATCGCCTGGCTACTCAGCATTAGGTTCCAAATAGGCTTTGTATGTTTTGAGAAAACAATACTTTAAAATTTGCTGTAGATATATACCTTTAGAATTTAAATGTCTCTGACTCTTTCATTATATACTAAGTTTGCAGACTGGTCATATCCATGTGTAGATGGAAGTAAAAGTCATCATGCTAAGTTATTTTTCAGAAAATCACATTTTGGACTTTTTAGTATTAACTGGTTACCTCAGGAAAACTTTATTTTTAAAAAGAAAAAGAAAAAAATGGTAGTAATAAATTAGATAAGCTAGTTGTCATGGTGGTGGCCATTCAGATAAACCTAGTAATTGTTAATGGATTGGTAATGTCCATCTCTTCTGTCATATATACAGAAAAAGGTATAGGACACAATGCCAGTTGCAGTTTATTAGAACGAGAGTAGAATATACAAGTCATGATTGTGGTTCTTCATTTTCTATTTTAGTTTTTAAAATACCGTGTGCACACATCTTAATTTTTTAAAAATTTATACTACTGCACAAGAAGCAATCAATTTTTGTATGATTATATCTGATTGATTTCCAGTGTGCCCAAACATTTTTAGACTTCTAAAATTTCTGTACTGTAGATCAAAATATCTATTAACATTTTTAATGATAAAAATATAGTTAAAAAAATTCCAACCAGTAGAATGAAAATTGACCATTTTACCAATAATTGTTTCTTTTACAACTGGTACCCCTGCACTGAGATAATTATAAATTCATAAAAGGCACCACACATCTTAAAGCAAGTAAGTAACCAAAACTAAGCAACTTTCTATGAGTTCCTTACTGTACAAGCACAAACATTTTAAGGCAAGTGTTCCATGTGCAAAATACACAATACAGGTAAAACCAACATTAATGTTACATAGTCTTACACCACCCTGGTAAGAATATTGGCATCAATATATACAATACATTGAAAATATCTTCTCTAGCATATTTCAATCTAACATTTTGCTGTTAACATGGCCCTGATTACATTGAACGTTGACCTTTTAATATTTCAGTTGTGCTGTCAAGAGTCACTCTCTTTTTCTTGACTCTTCTTTTACAAAAGTCCATATCAACTTGTTCACAATGTCAGGTTGATCTTCTTGGAGCCAATGGCTGGCTTCAGACAGAACAGTAAGTCGAAACTGATTTTTTACATAAATTCTTGTGATTTCTGCCATCTCAACTTCCATAAAAGGATCTTTTTCTCCCCATACCAATAGAGTAGGCATGGTGACTTCATGATGCTGCAGTGGCAGACAACTTTAAAAAGAAAATATTTTTTTAAAAATGATGAGAAAAAAGTTCAATTTAGTTATCAATCACAAGTTTCCATTTGTAGCTAAAATGGATATAGACATGCACTTGCATTCTTATTGTACTGTGTATCAAACAAATCCCTCTCCAGGGACACAAATTAATGCACACAATACATCTGGTTCAGACCTTTGCATTTTAGAATTAATATCTGATCTGAACATTTTATTTTAACTTTTAGCAGAAGGAATTTTGCCCCTTAGCTGTATATGAAATCAGTAACATTAAGAAGATTCCATTAAACTATATGGAATTCACACATCAGAACACATGCACAACTAATGTTTAATGCCTTATGCAAAAATACAGCTTTTAATATATAGGTAGTCCTCATTTAGGGCTTGCCCTATGAAGTGATTATCTACAGTGACTTCAATGGCAAGGAAGTAATTTTATGATCAATCCCTGCATTTATGATCTTTGCAGATACATAAAGGAAATGAAGTAGGATCATAAGCACAATCATGGTTTCACTTAGCAACTGCTTTGCTTACCAACTGAGTTGCCAGTCCCAATTGTGGTCACTAAACAAGGATTACCTTAATGCATAACAATGTTAATGTTAGGATATGCAAGTATATAAATAACTGATTGCTCAAAACTGACAGTGGAAGGGATTATCGTATTTAGTCCAGATTTATGAATTCACATGCATTGACTTGGCTGCTGTAAGACCGCATGCTGTATTTAAAGCCCATAGCACTTGATTATGGCTTTTACGTACTTATATTATTCTGTATCATCAAAATCCAGAAAGCCTTGAAGGCAACATTGTATTTATAAAAAATAAGTTGGATGTATTAGCTTGATGCAGTAAGAGGAACTGACCTGAAAAGATTTCGATAGTGATTAATGGGACCAGTTAGTGCTCCTGGTTGGGAAAATACATAAAGATAAGCTTCAATGTCTTCTACTGTTAACCCACAGTTTTTCTTTCCAATTCTACTAGAATGGCTGGTAAAGATGCTTTTCAACACCTGTATCAACACATAAGCAAATAAATACAAGATTTTAAAAGCTGCCCAAAAGGGTTGAGGGTAATGCAATCCAAGTGTAACTCCCACAAAGACAGACATCGGCAGATTTGACAGACTTTCAAATTTTTCAGAAATATATTAATTTTGAAAAAAAAATAAGGATATTTCCATGCTGCAGCTGGTTTCTACCCAAACCCTCAAAATTGCACTTGTGCTGCCCACAGGAATCTTGATTGCTGTGGAATCTATGGCAGTTCAGGAGTGCTCGTGCCAATTAGCCAAAGAGAGAATGTCAATATTGTTTGCCCTCTTAATCCTAATCTCATAGCATTTGTTTTTATTGCGAAGAAAAAACATTGAGTGGAGGAAGGGCAAAATAATTTCTTAGAGCCACCAGGAAGGATAGATGATGAGGAACCAGGACAAAGCAAGAATCCATACCAACGGAAAACAATCTGCAGCTCCAGAGGAAATTGTCACGATTTTCTCAGTCAACACTAGAATTAGAAGCTTCATTGAAGCTTCTAATTCTATGCTAAAGTTTCATATGAAAGCTTTGTAAGTATAGATGGTCCTCGAGTCATGACCTTCAGCGACTGTTCAAAGTTGCAATGGTACTGAACAGGAGCGATTTAAGAGTTCTGACTGTCACACCATTCCACAGTCATGTGTTCCCAGTGAGCTGCAGACACATAATCATGATGTCCTATGTTCCCTGCTAGCTTCCCACAACAGCGTCAATGGGGAAACCAGCAAGAAGTCAGAAACTGTTGGTATTTTGCCTGTCTACATTCTGGTGCATCTGCTTAAAGCCCCTCTTCAAGCAAAGATTCAAGCAGAATATGATGTTGAAATCCTGAGGACAGAGAGTGTATGGATTTCTGAGTTACTTATTTAATCAAACTTACTCTCAAATAAAAGAACAGCAAACTTGGCTTCATGCCTGTGAAGTATTCCTATACTCACACATCACAAAACAAGTATTTAAGGTATGCATTTTAACTCCAATATTTAAATGACTGTTAAATATTAAAAAGCATACTTTTCATAACTGCATGCTTTTCCTTCAATAGTGCATGGGAAATAATCCATTGGGATCATGGGAAGTCACCCATTCTCTAACCATACTCACCTTAAAATCATTTATTGAAAATATAAGTTCTGGAAACCATGGCATTTGGAAGAAATAGTAGTTGGCAGATTTAATCATCTGTGATGGATGCCGCACAATGTATTCTTAAAAAGAAAACCAGGAGTTAAAAATGAGAAATATTGGTACTATGTTTATTATTTGGTATTTTAATGTTATGTTCCATTATACTAATCTTTTGAAATAAGGAATTCTTAATCCGAGTAGCTCAATTTTGTACAAATTTACCACAATACAAATCCAATTGTATTCAGCGCATCTTATTATTACCGATGTATCTTATTACTGGTACAATAATCAAAATTGCATCCCCAATTCTTATGTCAAATATATTTCTTCATATAGAAGCAAAAAGAGCTAAAATGTGTGTGTTTTAATTTAACACACTGAGCTCCTGCACTGTTTTTTTTTTTTTTAAGGAACTGATAGAGATAAAGGTGATGAGGAAATAGGAAGAATCAAAAAAGGATTGGGAGAAAAATATAAATTCTTAATCTGGATAAATTAGTTAAATAACCCTATTTAACTATTCTCAACTGCTGTTAAAAACCTCTTCCATAGGGAAGCATTGGGAATTTTTTCTGGAATATTTAACCTACATCCCTAAATAGTATTTGGACCATTTTTGCATTCAATGCTTCTTTTGCTGACTTTATGTAGTATACCAAACTTCGTCCTGTTCTATTCAGTTTTCAAAGTTATCCCGCGGATGGATGGATGGACAGAGTCCCAAGCGTCTTTCCATAATTTGTTTTCAACATTATACGGGGTTGGAAAAAATAATAAGAGATTGTAATTACATCTGGAAAAATTTTGCTGTTTGAAAGATAGGTAGATGTGTGACATGCCACATCCCTCAGGAACGAAGTTCCATAGCCATGTTCTATAAATGTTCCTATGAATTGAAAAAAAATAGCTAATAGGTCTGCAATTTAAACCACATTTCTCTGGGAGACCTTTTCAGATCCATGAGCTCCAATGCAAGAATTTTCCAGTCAGTGTCATCATTACTAAGAATTCTGGAGCTGAAGGCTATTGACAGGCATCACGGTTAGGAAACATAGATTATAACATCGAACTGATAGAAGAAGCAGAAAAAAAAGTCAAAACTTGCTTCTTATCAATGTCTGTCTATCTATGAATATTTTTATATTATACATATGCCCACATTTATTTATTTTCAAGATTACTGCCTCTTATTTTCCCTAGAACAACAACGATGAGATCTGGCGGAACACAAAGTTGGTGATAGGATTCACAGGTCTTAAAACAATTTCCCCTAATCTGGTGCCTTCCAGATGTGTTTGGATGACTGTTTTCCAAATTCCTCATCAGTTTTCTGGGAAGTACAGTCTTGGCACATCTGGACGGAAGAACATCTTTCAGTACTTTTATACTCACACATCTCCCCCCCCCCCCACATATAGTCAAACGTTTATACATACATACAAACACAGAATACACAGCTACTAATCAAGAGAAACATAACATGGAGAAACTACTCTACAGTTCTGTATTTTTTCCAGGCAAACAAGTTCTTTTGTCAGATTTTCAGCACATTCAAGAAATGGGATAATGTAATATGTGTAAGTCCTGTATCTGTCATTCCTGTTTATTTTGCTTCAGTTTGCTAAACTAAACCATTTCTTACTTATGATTGCTGTATTAGGACCAACTTCAAATTACCATGTAACTTTGTGCTACTGATATTGGCCTAATAATTCTCTCAGCTACTTGAAGTCAATGTAGGATATATATATAAACAATGATGATGGCCAAATACCAGCTGCCTTTTTTTTTAAAGAAATATTTGCACTGCATCTTTTAATGCTGCAGCTTTTCTTTTAAACTCACCTGTAAAAACGGAGGGATGTGGAAAATTCACAACAATAAGCTTTGTCACCATTTCTGGATAACAAATAGCAACTAGCCAAGCAATCATTCCACCCCAGTCGTGACCAATCAGCACACACTTGCTGTATCCTGTTGTTTAAAAATAGATTTTTGACAGATGTTTATCAACAGTTCCATGCAAATAAATTATCACATCAAGGGAAATGACAGTGGATTTTGCAGTATACTTGCAAACAATATCTCACATTTTTCCCCTTTGGCAAATGATTTACACCATCAGACATAGGTGATCTATTAATAAACTTTTCAAGAATCATAGCTAACAACCTAGCAAGAACAAGGTGGGAAATTTCAGTGTGTTTTCTAATGTGTCTAAAATGTCTACTTTCATTCTTTGTAACCAGAGAATATTTATAACTCTACTTTACCAGCTGGTTTTTAAAAAGGCTTTGCAAAAAAATAAGTAGAAAAGAATGAATTAATACTAAGTAGTATTTACTCGTATAATATCAGATGTAACCCACTGATTTATGATGATCTAATTCAGTCACGATCATAATTAGATGATTAAATCAGAAATATGTTTGAATATTTCTTAAACAATACAAATTCAATGACATTTTGGAGCACATTATATTGTTTGAGCAATTATATTTTTTCTAAATTTATAGGAACATGAACGATATTAATTTAAGAAATAATACATGACAACTCTTTCAAGCTGCAGTAGTAGTACATTAAGAATGTATATGCCACGATTCCTTTCTTGTCTACCTCTAACTCTCTTGCCCTAGATTGTTTGTCTTCCATAGGATTAAAAATAGAAAAAAAAATGCCCTTATTTGATTAAATCTAAGTTTCCCAAAGCTATTTCTTTTATGGGACTGTAGGTATAGATGTGGTATGTCTGTGGTGAGGTTTAACTGTATCTTTTTAAAACTAATATATTTTAGTAGTTTGTTATAACTTTTTGTTTAAAAATTCTTCAAAAGTATTATCTTCCATGATTTCAGACATGCTGATTTAAGTTAAATATATTAGGAATTATTCAGGCATGAAATATGTGCTTTAAACTATACTTACCTCAATAAAATGTTATTCTACCTGCTTTTTAGCTGGTGGGTCATGCATGTTTACTTCATAGATATTCTTTAAACTAAGATTACTCACTTGAATAAAATAGCATGAGCATACTTGGTAATGCTGGAGTTTGATTGGACCTGGCCAAAATATGTCAAAACTAACTACTACTTACCTTAAAATTAAGAGAAATTTTACATGTGGATAGGTACACATAATGCATACCTTACACATAATCTATACCTTACCTATCTTACCAAAATATATTATGTGGAAATTTCAATTGACCAAGTGATTGGCAGCAGAGGTCCCTAAGCCTCAGATGATCAATAGAACCTGGGAAAATCCTATCAATGAAGCACTGTAGATCATGCATATGACAATATATATAGCAGCAGAATGACAAACACAACTTTAAATCCAGGACAGCTATTTATCAATTTAAGTTGGTAGGCAAGGAATAAATCAAAGGTTACCATGCAAATCTGACTTTTAAAAAGACGGGCCATCTCCTTGCCATGGTTAATAGTAGATGAGGATAAACCTTTAGTTTTATCCTTTGTTGGTTTCCTTATGTTTTCTTTTATCTCCTGACTTCAGAACATCGACTTCTCACTCTTATTCTTTATTTTTTCTAATATGGTTTATCCTCAAAGAAAATAATATGGTGCACCAACTGAACTTTTACCTTAATTACAGAGCTTGGAGAAATGTTCTAGTTTACATTGTTTCTAGGTGAGGGAAACAGTTGTGGGTGGTTTGATAGCAGTGTTGTTAGCATATAAAAACAATTATATTACACTGAACTTATAATTTACTAAGTCTATGATTGTGCTCAATGAGAATGTTATCCTAAAGTATGAGGTTGCATTAAATGAGATTCTGACCATAAATAAATATCATTACTGTGTTACAGATATTTCCCCTAATCTGCATTCCAATTAGCAAAATCATTCAAAATCTTTTTGTTTTGTTTTTAGCTAACAAGAGATTAATTTGCATCAAATCTAATCTTTTTTGTGGGGGGGGGGAGGCTTCATCCTTTGAGGAGAAAACTAGAATCCAGTAGAACTTCCCTATGGTGGGAAAAGGTAATAGGTTGATTTTGGCTTTTGCCCCTCAGCCTAAAATGCTAGCCCTCACTTTCAAGAAGATAGCAAATTGCAAAGGAAATAAAATTATCTATCCCTTCAGCCTACATCATGATTATCCAATTCACAGCATGACTGGTTTATGCTTTGGAGCTTTATTGTCTGCAACGGGGTCGCCAACCTTTTGGACCACAGGGACCACCAAACTCATAATTTAAAATCCCAGGGACCACTAACCAGTTCTGTGGGCATGGCCTAATTTGTGGGTGTGGCTTGGTGGTCATGTGACTGGCTGGGCACGGCTTGTATGTAAATATTATAAATATTTATATAAATATTGGTATTTTTTTCATATAAAAAAGAGCAACTTTTACCCAAAATCAAGCAAAGCAGGCAGGCAGATTGAGTTGCTCACAGAATCACAGATTCATTCAGAGATCTATCTATTGGCCATCGGCTAGCTCAGTCTGTCACATAAAATTTGCTTGTGGTGAGTCTGCACTGAATAATAGAACCTTCAGTCCTAAGGGAGGTTCGGCTGTGCTTAAAAGCAGAGCCAAATATCTAAAGACTAACTAGAAAGCAAAAAGTCCAACCATTTCCTGCTTCCTAGCTAATCTAAACCTCCCAGCACAGCAGAACAGATGATGATCAGAAAAAGGAAAAATAGCAATTTAGCAGGCAAGTTTACCAGGTAAGGAGTGAGTGGGCGGGGAGGGTCCCACGGGCCATGTGGGTGACGCAGCCTTGTGTTTCTGTGCAGCCTGGATTAATTGCTTTGAAGGGGTGCTCTGGGGATGAGATTTCTCTGCAGCCCACCAAAATTTTCTTGCGGACCACACACTGGTGACCATAGTCTGGAAGTGTTCTAGAAGGACCATCCATGCCCATTTGAGCTCCATATATACAAAATTAATTAAATGGCTAAAAATCCCCAAGATTTTTTTTTAAAGAAACAACAAATTGTAGGAACTAAATTTACAGCAAGAAAATAATATATGCTATATACGTGCACATCAACAATCACCTCAAAAAGGACTTTTTAAAGGAAATATATTATCATCTAGCTACTCCCCTTTCCAGGTTTATTATAAATTGAGCAGCAGCGCTGCTATTCACACACCAAGAGACTCCAAGATATCCTTTATATCAGTAATCAGACAATCCAGCTTGTAATTCTCTCGGTGGGCGGGAGCATCTGTTTCTCCATAACCTCTCAAATCCAAGGCCACAACTCGATATTCACTCTTAAATTCACGCATTTGATGTCGCCAAGAGTACCTAGTAAAGAAGAAGAAAGTTTTGCTTCATAAACTGTTCTGCCTACCTTTGCAAAAAATCAATTCATATAGGAAGCTCAAAATGAAATCATAAAACTGAAGACAATAAGAACAATTGCACTAGTTAATAAAATTTAAAAGATATAAATCCCCTGTAAAATAATAACAGAATCAAACTGTAAAAGCCTGGATCACTTGATGGTTTCTTGTAATGATTGTCACTATCAAAGTTTAGCTGAATGTAATGAAATCATGCCTCATTTTGTACATAAACTAAACCAAAGCTTTAAAAATTATGTTGTTGAATAAATCACCATGACCTGATTATACATAGCATGACTCTATTAAACTAATATCTACATACCTCTTTCTAGTCTTTAATGCATACATATTATTAATTGGAACACCAGAAAGAAGCAAACTGAAACCAATTTGGCAACAGAAGAAAGATAAATTTTAAGTTGATCAAAGCAGCTTTCACGGGACTTTGTTTTAGCAGGGTCGGCTGATTTAGCACTAGCTTCAGATGTGCTTCTAATGTATTCCCTGGATACAAAATAAATATTGCAATGATATGGTATTTTGTCATCCAACCAGGGGTGGGATTCTACCTGTTCGCACCTATTCGTTAGAACCAGTTGTTAACATTCTAAGCAGTTTGGAGAACCGGTTGTTAGAAGAAATTACTGGCCTAATCCTGTAAGGAAGGCAGGAAGGAAACATTCTGGAGTTGCTTACAGAAACTGCCTCTCTGTTAACTCTTATTCTTGGAAGGACTGGACTTCCTATCTCAGGAACTTCTCTGGAGTTTTTTTCCCCTCCTTTAGTGGTACTTTGCTTGTGTGGAGTGACCATTCAAAGTTACAATGGCACTGAAAAAAATGACTTATGACCATTTTTCACACTTATGACTGTTGCAGCATCCCCAGTCATGAGAGGCCAGGCAAGGAGATGCATGCCTAGATGTGAGTGATATTGAGTTGGCCACACCCAGCCAATAACATGACCACCAAGCCATGTCCACCCAGTCACATGACCACCAAGCCATGCCCACCAACTAAGCCACACCCACAGAACCGATTGTTAAAAAATTTGAATCCCACCCCTGCATCGAACGAACATTATCTCATTCCTGCAGTTTTAATACTGCCATTGAAGACTCAGGTACAATAGTTCATTTTCTGAACAACAGAACAGAGTTGGAAGGCACCTGAGAGGTCTTCTAGTCCAACCTCCTGCTCAGGCAGAAAATCCTGTACCATTTCAAACAAATGGTTGTCCAATCACTTCTTAGAAAATTCCATGTTGGAGCATTTACAACTTCTGAAGGCAAATTGTTCCACTGATTGTTCTAACAATCAGAAAATTTCTAGGTAACTTCTAGATTACTTTCACTTCCATTGAACCCTATACAATCAGATATAGTTAAGAGAGATCTATTCAGCTAGGACTGTCATTCCTTTTGAAGGAGATTCTTTCTGGACTTATAGTTCCCTATTCCCCAAACTACCCTCATGAACTCTCTGAAGATAAATATAGCCATAAAGATGGCTAAGTGCTGAGGTATTAATGGCTTTCAGTAGCCCTGAGGGATCTTGAAAGAGGGACAGCGATAAGATGCAAAGATTGCTGTTTTCTTTATCTTTCTTTCAAAAAACAACAACAATGCACAAAAAGCAAATATCTGGGCCAGAAATATTAGGTCTTGAGCATTGTGTTGGGAAGAGAATTATTTTTTTCAGAAGGAGAAAACAAAAGTGTAACACATGTTCACATACTGCAATCAATGGAACATATCAAATGAGAAACCAATTAACTTCAGCGCACACTTTCTAAGAATTTATTCATATTTATTTAACATTATCCAGTCGATTTCAGCCGTCCTTTTTCCAATGAAAGGAGCTTCTGATTGAATGTTATGGAAAAATGTCCTAGCGGTCAAAGTGAAATCAATCACCCAGAAAAGGACTTTTTACTCTGTAGGTTCAGTTGGAGACTGATTTGATTGCTGGACTGAATCTAAATGCCACAGTGTACTGTGCCCTTCCGATTCTATGAAGATCAAAACTGTTGGAGCATTTTTACCACTTGTATACTCAGGAAAAACTCCATATTACAAAGTAGGAAATCTACTGAGAAATGAATTTCATAAACAAAAGGTAGACACATTGCTTAATTATTTAATTGCAATATTTATTAACTATTAATGAATAGTTACATTCACGTTTAGCAGCACGATCACAATTGAACAAGGCTAAAGAATAGCACAAATAAAAAAGCTTGGGCTTTATATATAAAGTATATAAGAAATACAGGTATATCTCACAACCTGCTCACTTTTCTGTATATAATATTGTAACCTAGAGATAGTACTGAGTAGCATGTGTTTCTCTGTAGATACTTAATATATGTAATATTTTGTGCAAATCTCTTTGTAACAAAATAAATATTTCTTATCTATTCCATCGATAAATTCAGGATCTCCTATTGCAATCTCTTAACTGGGCAAGGTGTGGGGTGTGAGACATTTTTTATACTCCATCATGCAACAGCTGAAGAAATTCCAAGCCCACAAATGGAAAATGTGACTAGATTGCTGAATTTGGATTTCTGGAATGTTACCAACAACCGTATATCCATTCTGAAGATATGACTAGAATCTGATACTGTTCTTTGTGTGACGATAGGCTCATATTCTAGCAAATGTTGGAGACTTGAGGGAACACAGATAATATACAGTGTGTGGTCCAAAGTGTTGTTTTCTTGGTTACCATGGTGAATAGAAATATCTTTTAGAAATGCTTTTGCTTTCTCAAGGAGAAATTGTTTCATGAATACCCAAGGGTGCTGTTTCTAGAAATCAGCTCTTGCCCAATATTGGCATCTTCTACATCAGCATATTATTATCATCAATATAGTTTTAGAGCAGAATCTTGATAGACAAGATACATATGTTTTCCTAGTGTTATGACCACAGCTGGGAATACAAATGCCATATAGTAAGCTACTTAAGTCTCAGCCTGGATGAAATATGAACAGCACCAGAAAATGAGGTTTTTCTCTGCAGGCACAGTCAGGCAGTCTGAGCAACATTCTTTACAGCAAGATACAGAGAAACTGAGCCAAGAGCTTTCTCTCAGCCTGTCTTTATTCTTTGATTTGTTTATGCATCTAAAATAGTCCCATGCTGGCTTTCGTCTCATCAAAAATTCATATCCTAATACAAATATAAGTATAAAGCAGTAAAGCAATATTTAAATACAGGTGCCAAGAGAATTTCCTCAGGAAAAGTATTCCAGTAATGAAGGCAACCTAGTGGAATTCCCGCCTCCTCTTGCTTCCTTGAGACTGAATAACACACTTCTAACTCAGGGCCCTGCTAGATGATCCTAATACAGGAATTCCATTAGTACTGCTCTAATCAGTTTTTTTTTTTCCTATGAAAACTGCGCATATCCTCCAAAAGAGGCTTTGGAACACACAGGAACAACTTTTTCCAGTTTTGTGTAGCTGCCTTGGAAATTGCTTTCGATTGTTCCTGCGGTAGCTGCAGATTTTTTTCATGGTGAAGTGGTTGAGAATACACATATGTCTAGAGACAGTAAGGAGCACCGTTCAAACAAACACGTCAGCTTGGAAAAAGACACTGTGGCTTTAAAGATTCAGAGTGAGTTGCTTCATGCAGGCTCCCACATATTCTTTTTTTTTTTTTAAGAATTTTTAATTTTAAAAACAAACATACAATACAAAACAGAAAAACAGAAAACCATCTTCCATTTTATATACACACAGCGTGTCAGTTGGTTACAAATCTTTTGTGCTATTCTTTTGTAGTCATTTACTCACAATTTATATCAATTTTCACATTGTTGAACTCACATATGCTTGTATATTTATCAGTTGTTAATCATTCATTACTAAACTATTTATTCCATCATTTTATACGAGATGTTCCAAGTTTTATCTTAAGATTTATGTTATACTTTCAACCAATGGTTATATATGTCTATATTATGTCTTATATCAATCTATTAAATTTCTATCACAGACTCCCACATATTCTGAAGCACCTGCTTTTGAAGGATTTGCACAACCCTATGACCTCTATGTATTATGAATGAAGTGAGCACAGGATTGAGGGTATTGCTCCTGTTATGTATGTTATAAGATACTTATAAGCAGCAGTAAGCAGTTAATTTTTATCTTCACATCTTCTGCACGTTTACTGGTTATTTAGCTTGCCCTAAATTTAGCCTTGGAACATTAGCTTTTAAATCCTGTTGCATACACAGGTTGCTGTTGCAAAACTAATTTAATTTTAGATTACTTCATCTAAAAATGAATAATTTCTTCCAGGGTTATGTCCTGTTAAACGGCAATTATTTCCTCTTGTAATTTCAGTAAGGGGAACTTTTAAGCAAAATCTAGTAACTACACAAATAGCATGCTTTTAGCAGGAGCAGTTTATGCTGTGATTTCCCTATAATTATTGTACGACCCCTTTAACTTTCTAAGTTATTCTAGCATTGTCGGTACGAAGGTATGCTGAATTAACATAACAGTTCTATTTACATTAGTGGTGTGATTAAAAGCATTTCATGTCATTAAATTGGTTAGACAAACAGCAGTGAAGTGAGTGAGTGTTGTTTCCCAGTCACTCAATGGAGCCGGATCCTCAGTTGAAAACAGGATTATTGATCCAGTACATAAAAGTAGAAACACCAATCATATCAATTAGAATAAGAAAGCAAGCAAGCAAGGAATTTACCAGAACTCTGGAAAGCCATGAAGAAGCAGCATAAGAGGTTTACCCCTCTCTCCGGCAGCTACATAGTGGAATCTCAGCCCAGAATCCTGAAAAAGAACGGAAAACAGATTGCATTTTTATATTTATATATAATACTTAGGAATTGTGAAGGCTCAGTGGTTAAAGATGCTGAGCTTGTCAGTTGGAAAACTGTCCAGGTTCGAGACCTGAGTGCCAGGGGTGGGATTCAACTGGTGTTACAACTGGTTTAGTGAGCGTGTGATTTGCACGCAGGCGCACGCTTCACGCACGGCCGCACCTGATGCGCACGCATGTGGAGCAATTGCAAAAAATCACCAGTTGTGCTACCCAGAGAGCTGACAATCCTTTGAAAATCCTCTTTCCTGCTTTTTCAAACTGCAGCTGTGCCGCGCAAAGCAGCTGAGGTTGAAAAAGCAGGAAATAAAAGACAGCCGAGAGCCTGGGCAGGCGGGTGGGCCAAACAGACGACCAGAAGGTTGTTGCAGCAAACCGGTTCGGTGTCAGCTGCTCTATGGAGCTACTGGTTCTACAGAACCGGGCTGAACCGGTAGCATCCCACCCCTGCCAAGTGCTGAGCAACAGGGTGAGATCCCATTCCTGTCTCAGCTTCTGCCCACCTAGCAGTATGAAAGCATACAAATGTGAGTAGATAAATAAGTATCACTTCAGTGGGAAGGGAAAAGCGTTCTATGACCCTTTAGCATATAGAAAAGGAAAATGTCTTCGGACAACACTGGCTCCCTTGATCAAGAAAAGGAGATGAACACCATGCCCTAGAGTTGGACATGACAGGACAGGGAAATCTTTACCTTTTAAATAATATTTATATATTTATATTCATGGAGAAAAAAAATAACAAAAACTAGATTGGCAGCATTAGTAATCAAGTAGCACGCAAACGGATCAAGTATTTCCTGTATCATAAAGACCAGGGCTGTCAAACTCGCAGGCCGTGGGCCAGATCCGTCACATGCTGGTCACGTCCACATCAGGTTTAGGAAGGGGAAAAAAGTTGTGATACGTCACGCGATGCCACCATGACAATGCGAGTTTGACACCTTTGTTTAGTGTTTTATTGATACTCTAAACAGGTACTTTCTTAAATGATGTACTTAGTCTCCCCTTTCATCTAAATTATAGCTCATGCAGATGTAAATACATATAGATACTTATAATGCAAAGGACATTGGAGTAACACAACAGATTTGCTATACTTGTGAGCATATTTGTCCCTACTGCATCTAAAGTAGATACTCCACAGTTACTAGTTTAATGAGCACAAGAGCTTCTCCCACAGATAAGTTCTTGTAGAAATGTATCAAAGTACCTCCAGAGAGTTAATGAGCAGAGGAGCAGAAGCTCATTTCAGGGTTGACTGCTATATTGTGACTTTGCACCAATGAAATAACCGGATTAAAGGAACTGGTTTAAATAGAAATGGCAAATTGTGAAAGAGCTGCGTGAAAAAGAGAGTTAATGGGTACCAGTGACAATATTTTGCAAACACTGCCCTCTAGCATTCTGTAACGAGGTCACTGCAAAATTAAACGCATCTGTAATTAAGTATTCAGTAGGATGCTGCAATAGCAACAGTATTGTACTGGCTTCCCACAAAGGCAACAAGGAGATCTGTGGCATGCAAAAAGACCGATGTATTTTCTATAGAACCAGATTTTATGAGCTGTCACTTATTTCACCAAATACATACTTCTGATTTATATGCTTCCACCTACACATCCTCAAATATGGGCCCTTATTTATTTTACAGCATTTACCAACTGTCTCAATCTGAGTGACTCTGAGCAGCACACAAGAGCAAATAAATACTCAGAAGACTCCCCAAAGTTCAAATAATACTAGAATGGATGCTGACACGTAATTGCACAGGGGGAGGCAAAATAGAAATCAAGGGGAAGAAAACAACGTTCCATCACCGAAATGAATTCAGCAATAAAATGGCCACATTTCAGCAGCACAATTTAGGGCTGTTTTTGAGGGTTTGCAGGATTTTAAGGATAAAAATAGTGGTATCTTGTCTCATAAAGAGTCTCGTTGCACCTCTTTGGCCTCTTGTTTTAGAGGAGTGGGAGAACCTGCAAAAATCAGGTTTTTTGCGGTTAAATATAACCTTAGGGTGTCAGGAGATTGCAAATGATGTCCTTAGTGTGTTTCATAAACAGTTGGTGGGCTTAGACTGGGGAAATTCTAGTTTTAAGTTTCTGATCAGCCATAGTGGGTTTACTGTGGGCCAGTTACTTTCCTAAATCAATCCACCATTTCAGAAGGTTGTTGACAGGAATGGGGGAGGTCCTCATAAAATTTGCATTTAGCTTTCACAGAAAAGACAGGATCTATATGCCATGTCTACATGAATAAAATCTTAGTAACATAAACTACAGCTTAACACGAGAGCAGAATCCATTCAGCATGTATTTGCAACCTCATAAACACAAGGTTGCTTCTATTCCATCAGGTACCCAGAGCCAAATTTATTACCCAAATTCGTTTTGCAAATAGCTAGAGTTCATAAGAGACACAATTGCCTTTATTTCCTGAAGTTAATTTATCCCAATGTCACCATAACATTCCTCGTATTGGATAAAGTTAGCTGTAGGTCATGCACAATTGTGCCATAATAAACATGTAGTGAAACCTGGATGGAAAACATTACTTGATCTGAGAGGAGATGCATGACCATTAAACCAGAAATTACACAATTTTCAGCAAGGTATGTCCTTTGCACAATGACATCATGATGGGAATTACCTAATTACACTGTATTGACCTGAAGGATGTAATTTGCAGCATTTGTGCAATAGTGCCATTATGCAATAATAGCTATGAATGATGAGACCTTAATGTAAAATTAATGTAGATTGATCTACCTCATCTGGACTTCTTCAAATGTATCTATCCATTACTTGGGGGGTGGATGTCTGGAGAGAAACCTGGTCCATTACATCAAAAATCCCTTGAAATCACAGGTTTACTGTAATAGTTTTTAAAGTACCACAATTTGCTGCTGTGGATAAATATGGTTCCTTCTCTGGATGCTTTTTATGGATCATAGGGATGTTCAAAAACCTGCTGTCTCACTCTGCTTGCGTGGTTATTTTTCATACGCTTTCAATTCAAACAAACAAGTTCTCTGCTGAGGCTGCTAATAAGGACACCAACTGGGCACTGTGAATTCTTGTCTGTTAACAATTATCTTAAGAGCTTCTATTCATTGCCTGCTGACATCAGACAGCTGTGAAAAGGTTACCACCCAGAGGCAATGCAAAAATGTGTCCTAGGTTTTTGCACTGGATAATTGCAAGATATCTAGGCAGCTGACTTCTGCTTCCTTCATATGGCAAACTGAAGTTTGGGATACAATTAGAGTATAGAACTGTAATTACCACACCAAATCATTAAAAAGACTAAGACTAAGATATCTTTTCAACAGATTTTAAACAAGATATCCTTATCTTACCTGTTCTCCATTGCTGGTTTATGAAGGGTGTGACATTTTGTTAAATATCCATAGTCTTCACAAAACAATTTCCTGTAAGTCTTTTTACTACAAATATTTACATATATAATATAGTATTTACATATTCAAATGTATACAATAACCCTGCTTTGCTCAGTACATTAACCTACAGTTTTGATTTATTGCATGGTATGAACTCAGCCAAATATGTTTTGTAAAACAAACACAGCTTAGTGTATATGCAAACTCCGTTAGACATGACATAAAATATAGTGTATTATTGCAAAATGTGTTGTATGAATTCAGGTGCTGTTTATTACATAAACCATGGTTAAAGAAATCATAGCTTTGCAAGTTATTAGAACAAAGCCCCCGTGTTATTTTATGTCAAGGTAATCCAGTTTTGGATGTTTAAAACTACAGAATGCATTCTTATTATGAAAATATACACAGAATTCACTTTACAGTACTCCTTCCAAAAAAGTATTCAAAATCAGTATTTGTAACACACATTTTGAGAAAGTATCTATGCAGTGCATTAATTTAAATGAAATCATTTTTCTCCATTCGACCCTTGTACCCAGTTCTGGATGCATATGTTTAGGAAGGGCATTTACAAATAGGAATGCATACAACCAAGGAGAACAATAACAAGAACTGATGATGTTACCTAGTCTGGGTAATGAAACGTCTGCAAGAAAAAACAAACAAACTCAGACAGCATCAAGGACCGTTTTAGGATAATAAGGGCCCAGAAGGAAAATGCTATAAGGAGCAATTGGAAGTAGAGAATATGTTTAGCCTGGAAAAGGGGAAAAAACCTGCAAGAGTTTTGGTAACTTTCTTCAAATATTTGAAGGTCACAAAGAACATAGAACAAAAATAGTTTAAATAACAAGTTGATTTTGACTGGATATCAGAAACTATTCCTAATGGTAAGAGTTGATCAGAAATGGAACAAATTATCTTGAAAGTGGTAAACATTCCTGTGCTAAAGGCATTTAAAGAGAGACTGGAGAGCTCTCTATCAGATATGCTACCATATAATAATACTATAATAGTCCATTCTTGCACTGACCAAGTAATGGACTAGATAATTTCCAATGTCCCTTACCTTCTACTGGTATGACTGTAATAGTATATGAGAAAGGCCTTGAAAGATGGATGAATTGCTGCCTAGAGGACAGTCAAATAACAGGAGGGACAGCCCACAGCTGTATCATGGGTGGAGAAAGAGGGTCAGAATGGATCCTTCCTCAGGCTGTAAAGGAGATAGTGGAGATTTGTACTTTCAGACTTGTTTCTATTAGTGTAGTCTTACAATAAAGTAGAATTAGCTCATCTGATCATGTTTCTTATCTGGTCTACCTGGGAAAGCGCAAAGTGGCTCTATGAAATTCTTCTCAACAGTGAGTCTATTTCAGCCAACTGGCCATACCATGTGATGGTAGATGTAGTTTTAGTGGTTAGCCTCTATTGGTTCACATATATTCTCTGTCATGTCCACATATGGTTTTGCATATTTTTAAAAAGAATTTACTTTGTATTAAAAAACCTAAGTAAAGAGATAAATATTTTAAAATATATTGAACGATCCTATTTTGTTTAATCTAAGTTTTTCTAATGGCAAGTGCTATACTAAAAGAAACAGATCACCATATACAAGTTTGTTTGTGTAGGATTCTGGATTGGGATAACTTTAGAATAAATGATATGAGCCACTTATAAAACTACCATTGCAATAAATCATTTTACAATAGTTTAAAAAAGAGAGATGTTAAATGAAACAGGTTTTTGTTCAGAACTTCTGACCAGCCTTCTATGGTTTTACTAGCTTCATATAAATCTAAACTATTTATTCTTTCCATTATAGAACTTTTCTCCTTAGTGACTATGTGACTTTTTATCCATTTTTTACTAAGGGCTGTTATACTGAATTCACTAGGAGATTGAATGCCTGATGCAATTAGATATATTTGCAATGCCCAATTTTTTTAATTATACTGTTTTATTATATATTGCTAATTTATTTGCTCAGAAGAAATATTTAACAACCTAGAGAAGTAGTTAAAACAGTATAATTAAAAAAAATAGGGCATTGCAAATATATCTAATTGCACCAGACATTCAATCTCCTAGTGAATTCAATGTAACAGCCCTTAGTAAAAATGGATAAAAAGTCACATAGTCACTAAGGAGAAAAGTATGGTATTCACTTTTGGTGTAATGCTTTAGCTTGAATAATTAGCTTTCAAGGTATTTAAGAGGTAGTCATTGCTGCTGCGATTAAGCTCTTACCGAAAAAGCTATACATGTAGCTATTCATGCAATATTTACCAGACCCATGTGATGGGAAACAGTTCAGATCTGCTTGGAGGCTTTTCTTTGGCATATATTGATCACTGCAGGGTATCTATCTTAATCCAATAAAAGTTCTTAAAATGGCCTATTGTTTCAGCCACTTCTTTAGCCCTAAAATGTAAAGGAAATAGTCACAAAAGATAGTGTGAGACAAACTTTTCTAGAAGTGGTAGGAAAAGCAAGGGATGGGAGAAGTGACAAACCGTCCTCAAATAAAACCTAATGTGGCCAACTGTCCTCAAGGTTACTATTATGATTCACTCTGAATTTGGAGATGATTTATTGAATTGGTTATTAGCCAAGTAATCACAGAAAGCAAATTATACCTTTTAATACAGAAGAAAGAAAACCTGATTGCCCTAGACTGTAACCCTGATCTGTTTCTTGTCCTAATATATATTATATATCTTGTATTATATATATATGACTGAAAGGAAACCTTAGAAACACTCAGTTTGAAAAAGCCACACTTTATGTAGCTCAATCTATTCAAAAGCTGTAATCACGCAATATACATCAATGATTAACTCAATTTGCTGGGTTTAAGTTCAACTCAGAAACATCGACCAAGTATACAACTGGAATTGTGTAACACACCAAACCAAGGTGTAGTTGGCCAGTTTGCATCTTGCTGACTCAGCCATGTAAGTTTTGTAGCATGAAAGATAGAATCCTATTTCTGGAACCAGATTATCTTTGTCAGTCAACTACTATTGTCAATCTCTTACAATTGATGATTGCATATGAATAATAGAGCCAGTTTGGCAAAGGCATCTGGTTATAAAGTAGGAGAACGCAAAGCCAGCTGACTGACCTGGGAAAAGAGGCAATGGCAAACCACTTCTGAAAACCTTGCCAAGGAAACTGCCAGGCCTTTTCTAAGGCAGTCTCCAAGAATCGAATGCAATTGACCGTATCATTTATATTTTCTTCTGCATCTCCTAGTGAAAAACTATTGAGACTAGGTTTTTTAAAACATGAAATGATGATGTTGCTAAGTCTTCAGGATAACAGCAGTGGTTAATGATTAACAACAAGGTTAATGGAGATGGGAAGTGATCATCATCAAAGTCCACCAATATCTGAGCTGATGGTGGGTAGTTTTAATGTGTTTAGACGCTATGAAGTTGTGGGGGACCACAAAACAAGATAAAGTAAAGGTGGCAACGGGCTTCCTCAAATTTAGAGAGATTAGATGACATCACCTCCTTGTGTACTCTGCTGGAAAAATGTCATCAATGGCAAGGCAGAAGAATTTACTCACATTAGTGAGCTGTTTGGTCTAGTGGTTAAGGCAACAGGCTAGAAAAGCGGGAAACCACGAGTTCAAGTCTCACCTTAGCCACCAGAGCCAGCCAGGTGACCTTGGGCCAGTCACTCTCAGCCCAACAAGGTGGTTTTTGTGGAGAAAATAGGAGAGGAAAGTATGTTGGGCATGTTCGCTGTCTTGAGTTAGTTGCAAAAATAATAAAGGTGGGATATAAATAAATGAATATCTAAATACCATCTTTCTTGCATATTATAATTGGAGTCAATATTGTACCATAACTCAGTCCATTTAACGAGAGGCAGATTCTGCATTAATTCTTGATTAAAACTGTAAGACTAGTTACAAAGGACCTCTGGAAAAGCTGCATACACATATTCGCAGATCCTCTCAACTTCCTGGAATGCCTTGTTTAAGACCATTGGTGGGCTCAATGATTATTTTTTTTCTTTTTAAAGAGAAGATATATTTTAACCACTGAAAAACATCTATGGAGATTCTCAGTCATCCAGTCCATGGCCGTACCAAGGTGCTTTTTCAAAGGGCAACTGGGCATTGTTTTTCCTTGAAGACGTTTGGCTTCTTATCCAAGAAGCTTCTTGACGAGAAGTGAAACATCTTCAAGGAAAAACAAAGTCCAGTTGCCATCTGAAAAAAGCACCTTTGAGACACCGAAAAACACCATCCCAGCCAGACTACGTAGTTCCTGTACAAACGCTGAAGGGGTCATTCTGGAGAGATGCGGCCTGTCTCTGGTTACAGCTCATCAAAACCAAGCACAGATGAATTCAGTAATCCTCCAGTTCACAAGACCGGATAACCCGACACATCCTTGCCTCCCCACCCCTGAATTCATACTTCGATTGCTGCCTGCAGCCCAGTGGCCCAACCTCTCCCCTCCCTCAGGATTTTCGCCTTGCCTGAAATGCAGCGGGGAGAGAGATTCTTAACACGCACTTAGCACACATCAGTCCATGACAAAGCGAACTGGACTCCCCTCATTCAGTCTGCAGTCTACCTTCCTTGGGTTGTTTTTTTTTTTTTTTTTTAGTGGCAGCAAAAGGTAAGAGAAAGCAAGAAACCCAGCAGCAGCGTAGCAGAGTCCAGGAACCCACCGCCTATCTATAAGTGGCGATGGAGCCTAACTGGCCCATTTGCCTCAGAGAAGCAAAAGTCGAGTAACCCTCCAGAAAGCCTTTTTTGTTTTTGCTCCGATTTACCTTGATCCGGACATAGCAGTGAGTGCCCAAGGAAGGGTCACTGAGGCATCCCGGCGGGTTCTCTCGGATCAGCCACTGGAAGGTCTTGCCTGGCCTGGTGCCCAGGCTCCACAAAAGTTTCAGCAGCTCGATGCAGGCGCAGAGACCACAGTAGCCGTGCACCAGAGCCCAGAAGAGCACCGCCTTGATCCTCACCATGAGCCCGTCGGGGATGCACAGCCAGGGGGAGAAAGCCAGGGCGCGCCAACTCGGTCGCTCTTCGTCCTCTTCCAGCAGCAGCAGCAGCAGCAGCAGCAGAAGCGGCGTCGGCGGCGATGGGGGCGATGCGCCTTCACTCCCCCGCCCGTGAACTCAAGATGGGCTCCGCCAGCGAGAGGACAGCGCGGAGGAAGCCGAGATCAACCGCAGCATCGCGACGGAACGGAGGCGCGCAGCAGACCATGCAAACCGGGGGCAGGGAAAAGGGGGCCCGGGCCGGCAAAAGACAACCGGAGGAACCACACGCCTGCCGCACTTATCGAGCAAGCCTCCTGGGCGGGGGTGAGGGGGGGAAACGCTCGGGTGACACCGCCGTGGTCACCTTGATCGATCGGGCGCGAAGCCAATGCTACCAACGCGAAGGGAGCAGCCGATCGCCAGGAACGCCAAACTCTTCGGACGCGCCGGTCGCTTCTCAGCTCTCTCATTCCACGGTGCCCCCACAAAACGCGCCAAGCTGCGTTCTTACATTACAATTCGGGAATGCCATCAACAATAGAGCAGAGCCCTCTCTCCGGAGGACATTAGGCGGGGAGGGGGGGGGAAGACCCAGAGTTAGCGCCAGGCTCCCCGTCAGACGAGGCCGAAGCGCAGTAACCCCCCCTTGGTTACGTCGAAAAGTCAGTAAGTTTTGGCGTGGGGCTCTGCGAAGGAAGAGCGCAAATTCGTCGCTTTGCCTCGGGCAACGCGTAAATTCTGGGTCGGCCTTCCCTGCGCCTGCGTCACCAGATGAGATTCAAGTTTGGGTGGGGAGGGAGGGGGGCGTTTTTGCATACTAAAATTGCGGGCGTGAGCGCGTGCGAGGAAGCCAGGGGCTTCGGTTCATCTTTCCGCCGACCGAATGATGTGCCCGGCCCTACCGAGGGTTAAAACAGAGCCGTTATAACGAGAAGCGGCGAATAAAACTACTCATTCGGCGAAATGGAAGCGCAATGACAGGCTTGGACCTGGAAGAACTTCATGTGAAGTTGTTCAGGAGTCACGTTGTATATTTACACGACACCTGGTTGAGGCATCTGGCTAGAAACCGGGAGAGAGTGAGTTCTAGTCCCGCCTTTGGGTTCAAAACGAGCTGACTGACTGTCACTTTCTCTCAGCCCTAGGAAGCAGACAATGGCAAACCACTTCTGAAACTGGTTGCCAAGGAAATTGCAGCGACTAGACCAGGCAGTCTCTTGAGTATTGAACAGGATTGAAGGAAAACTTGTTTGATGGCTTGTTTGTACACATACATGTACAATATGCCCATGTAAAATTTAGTGGATGCCATTCGTACTACATGGTAACTCTGGGTGGCTTACAATCATAAAAGATAAATATATGTATACTGAAAACATAAGTTAATACAAGCCAAACATTAACTGAACCAATTCCCTGTGTTCAAACAGTAGCATGCTCCAAATCAGAGTCTCAGGAGTCTCCAGCTTGATCAGGGGTTGGACTAGAAGACCTCCAAGGTCCCTTCTAATTGTGTTCTGTTGAAGTCTGAAGACCGGGGAAATAAAATGGGGCAAAACTGCAGCTTTAAATAATGTAGCTTGGAAGGAAGTATAGATGAGTCAGATGATTTTTAAAAAAAAAATCACTTTAGTAGTGTTGGAAAACAGGGCAGGGATCCTATGACTTCTTGGTACTGGTGTTCAATTAAAAATAATAATTAAGAAATTGAAAGAGTTCAATTAAAAGAGCAGCCTTCCAACCTCCAGATCTGTGAAGGAATCACTGCAGCTACAATAATTATACTTCCATTTAAGCGGACCAGGTTGAAAATACTGGCTTAGGTAGTGAGTTCCTGATTCCAGAGGTGAAAAGCAGAGTGACTTGTGTGCATGCCTACCTGATTGTCCAGTATATTGGACATATTGATCACCTAGAGCACAGGTGTCAAACTCGTAACATCACATTGTCATCATGTGATGTATCGTGACTTTTTTCCCCCTTCATTAAACCAGGGGTGGGCATGGCCAGTGCTGATGCATCTGGTTCACGGGCCAAGAGATTTTTTTTTCAAATATGTTTTTTTATTTTTCAATATAAACATACATATTTTGTGGACAATGCACTGACTGGGTCAAGACTTTTTTAAGCAACAGTAACAATGATAATACAAATAGATATGTGTAATTCTAATCTTCCAACTTCCACAACTTCAACAATGGTAGTCTCTTTTCATAATCCATTTCTCATTTTCCCATTAGTTCATTTAAATGTAGATAACATTTCTTTGTGCCTTGTATTTATAGTCCCTAAATACTATTGTTTAATGTTTTTAAGAGTTATTCATAGTTCTACCATATCGGGCCAAGACTTTGACAACCCATGAACTAGAGGCAGAAATCCACCTCTATGAGAAATATAGGTAATTCTCACTAACCAAATGTAATTGGGACTGGGACTTCCATCACTAAGGGATGTGGTGATAAGGCATAATATCATATGACTGTTCTGGCACTCCATTTTGCCGTCATTAAGTGAATCCTGTGCAGTTCCAGTGTTCCCTGGCCAACATGATCGATCTGTTTTCCAAATTATTGCTGGCTTCCCAATTCACTGCTGGTTGGAAGCCAACAAATTGTGCAACAATTATTGCAAATTGTGATCATGTGAGAGTGGTGCATCATAATTATGAGCAAATTGCAAGTGGCCAAATTGCAATTACACGACTGTAGGGATGCTGGGATGGCCACAACTACAAGAACCTCTGATCAAGTACCCTTTGTTCAGTGTCATCATAACTTTGAACAATCGCTGAATGGACATTAAACAAGGGCTACATATAACGTAGTTCCTCACACTCTGATATATTCAAGCAATCTGTTCATGTATTACAAAACTGATTGGCAATATATTTATCTAAAATGTAAGTGATCATATTAAGAGCAACTGCGTTCTCTTCGCTGCTGATGTAAAGCTGTTCAATACCACAGACAATACTGCTACCCTTCAAAAAGATCTTGACTATCTATTAGAATGGTCAAACAAATGGCAACTTCAAATCTCAACAAATAAATGCTCTGTCTTACATATTGGCAAAAAAAATCAGAAAATAAAATACAAGCTGAATAGTCAAGACCTTGTTGATGATCCAAACTCTGTCAAGGACCTTGGAATACTCATCTCTAATGATCTAAGTGCTAGAGCCCACTGTAACTACATAGCCAAAAAGGCATTAAGAGTTGTTAACCTAATCCTACGTAGCTTTTTCTCTGGTAATATCACACTACTAACTAGAGCATACAAAACATTTGCTAGACCAATATTCAAATACAGCTCATCAGTCTGGAGCCCACATTACGTATCTGATATTAACACAGTTGAGAAAGTCCAGAAATATTTCACAAGAAGAGTTCTTCACTCCTCTACTCGTTGTAGAGTACCTTATGCCACTAGACTTGAAATTCTAGACCTAGAAAACCTTGAATTACTCTGTCTTCGGTCTAAGTATGGTATATAAAATCATACATTGCAATGATTTACCTGTCAATGAATACTTCAGCTTCAACCATAACAACACAAGAGCACACAATAGATGCAAACTCAAGGTTAATCGCACCAAACTTGATTGCAGGAAATACGACTTCAGCAACAGAGTGGTCAATGTCTGGAATACTCTACCTGACTCTGTGGTTTCTTCCCCAAACCTCAAAAACGTTAACCTTAGACTGTCTACTATTGACCTCACCCCTTTCCTAAGAGGTCTGTAGGGGGCGTGCATAAGCGCACCAACGTGCCTACCGTCCCTGTCCTATTGTTTCTTTTATTTTTCTTTCATTTTTCTTATATGTACCCATTTCATGTATTCATAACTATGTATATACTTATACCAATTATTTTGTAAGAGATTGACAAATCAAATAAATAAATAAAAATAAATAAGTGGCTTCTATGTAGTCTGGATTTTGCCTTTAAGGATAGGCTAGTTACTTTGATTTTCATAAGCATCAAGAAAGAAAATATTGCAATCATCTTCTTTACTATCTCTTTTATTGCTTTGGGTGTCCTGGCAATAACATGTCTTGGGGACAAGGTGGGATTAAAACAAATCATCTCTCCCCCAAATATTAACTTTGCATCCTTTGTTTTTTAAAGCTATGTGAGTTGAACTAGCTGAATTTTATCTGTGCAGAATTTTAGTGGATATATTTCTTTCCTGGAAAGTAGGAGAAATGCTAAATAAATAAGCAAACAAGAAATTATGGGATGGGAGATAGGAGCAGGGCTACCAGATCTGGGCTGCAATAATCCAGACCACCATTAGATGACAGCAAATTCCTCTGGGTGTAAGAATTGTGCAATCCGAACCTGATAGTTGCAGACACAAGTGCCATTTAATCATTGCTGGCATTCCCTGCCTCCAGCTTTGGTAGTACCGGTAGTAAAGGAATGGCAATTGTTGCCTAGCAACCACTATACTTATTCTTTCCTTCCTCTAGACAGGGCAACTATTAAAAAGGAAGAGAGTGCGAGAAAGATAATGTTCCTGCATGGAGCCATGTCATTTTCTTCTCCTCTAGATTGCAAGATTCAGCTGAAAGAAACTATTGAACAATAACAATTTTGTTTTTTAAGTGGCAGTGATCTTGCAGGAGACAGCATGTTTTCTGCTTCAGATACCAAAAATGAGTCAGGCTGGGAGTAAAACAGCTTGGGGTAGCAGAGCACAGTGAGATAATAGTGAGTGCTGTTTCATCACTCTTCTTAGTGATGTATTTTTTGTCCAGGGTTGAAGGACCGGTAACTCTCCAGATATTGAATTGTTACTCCTAGCAGACCCAGCCAGCATAGCTCAAAATTAAAGGTCCTGGACACCATCATTCAGTAATATACAGAAAGCCGTGGTTCTCCGCCCTTATTAGGCATAATTAAGTATCTGCCCATTCACCCACACTGCATAGTTCCTGACCAGCACATGCACCCATGGACTCTAAGCTAGAGAGGGTTCCCAGTTTTCA